AAGAAAGCCCAGCCCAGCAGGTCACAGGGAGCAGGTGACAGCAAAGCAACAGACCTGGGTAAAGTGTTTTGATTTGGGAGCTGAGGGATTCCAGGAAAGCGAGCAAAAACCAAGAGCAGGAGGTCCAAGAGCATGGGCTTTGGAGTTGGACAAGCCTGAGCGTGAATTTTAGCTGGGCCCAAAGTCCTCGCTAATAGTGAACTTGGGTCAAGTTCCTTATCTTCCTTGAGTGTCAGTTTCCTTATTTGTGACGTGGAAGTTTATCCACCTTCAAGGGCAGTCCCCCAGGTCAGAAGGGATCTGTGCAAAGTGCACATGTGGTGTCTGATTCACAAGAGGTACTCAAGAGATGTTATTTCCTCTGTTCCTGGTCACTCCCCTTCCCCTGCCAGCACCACTGGATGGCATTGGAAGAATATTGGAGCAGAGATACTGACTTTCCTCCCACCCTGAAAAAGAAGCCCAATTAATTATCACTCCCCAAACCATTTCCTCATCCTGTAATAATCAGGGGAAAGACACCTATCAAGAGGCAAATATTGGGCTGGTGATTGAGATGGGACCTGGGGACCAGGGCTGCAGAGCTACGTCTGTGCCCATGATACATCTTGCAGGGTATTCACTGGTATTCACAGAGCCTGAGCGAGACAGGAAAGTAGCACGACAGTCACCAGATCTGTTGAAGAAAAATGGGTAATAAAGAGGATTATCACAATCCACTTTATAAATCCAATCAAGAATGTGTGTCCCTGGAGAAAGGGGAACCCTCTTACACTGTTGGTGGGAATGCACACTTGTATAGCCATTCTGGAAACCAGTATGGAGCTCCCTCAAAAAGTTAAAAATAGAGCTACCCTACGATCCAATTGGGTATTTACCCAAAGGATAGAAAAACATTAATTCAAAGGGATACATGCACCCTGATGTTTATAGCAGCATTATTTACAATAGCCAACTTATGGAAGCAGCCCAAGTGTCCATTCATTGATGAATGGATAAAGAAGATGTGGGGTATATATACAATGGAATATTATCCAGCCATAAAAAAGAATGAAAGCTTGCCATTTGCAATAACAGGATGGATCTAGAGAGTATATGCTTAGTGAAATCAGTCAGAGAAAGATAAATGCCATATAATTTCATGCATATGTGGGATTTAAGAAACAAGCAAAGGGAAAAAAGAGAGAGAGGGGCAAACCAAGAAACAGACTCTTAACTACAGAGAACAAACTGATGGTGACCAGAGGGGAGGGGGTGGGGGAAGAAGGGAAAGGAGTGCACTTGTTGTGATGAGCACCAGGTGATGTAGAGAAGTGTTCAATCACTATATTGTACACCTGAAACTAGTATTATACTGTATGTTAACAAGTCGGTATTAAAATAAAAACTTAGAAAAATGTGTGTCCCTTAGGGTAGCTGAAGGTCAAAAACACCATCCTCTTTGATGGACTCCTTGGCTCAAAAAGATGGGGGTGCGCTGTGGGGAGGTTAAGAGGAAATTCTATGCACAGAGGGCACTATTTATCAAAACATAGCCTGTGCCACCCCCCACCCCCACCCCCCCGCACTGTAATCGTTTATCTGGGTGCTAGCCAAGAATATGCAGATTCCTGGAAGGCACCCCATTTTGCTGACTCAGAATTTATAGCTGTGGGGCCTGGGAATGTACGATTACAGCAAGTACCCTGGGTCATTCCTGTGCACACCTAGGTTTGAGACGCCTTACTTACCCCAACCCTGTGTGCTGCCAGAGAAGGACCAGTAGCTGCAGTTTAGGATGCCCCCGAGCAGAATCTCCTGCTGGGCTGGGCTGGGCTGGGCTGGGTGGGGCTGAGCTAGGGGCTGGCAATGCTGTTTCTTCCCAGCCTGAGAGGTAGCTGCCGGAGAAGCAGCGTTAAAAGGGGAAGAGGTACTCTGAGCCTAATCAGCTGTCATTCAAGCAGAGGGGTCAGGGTGGGGTCAGGGCCACCAGCCAACTCTGCCACGCTAGGTTGCCTGATGGAAGGGGGCTGGAAGGGGGCTCTTTCTGGGGAGCTCTCCGAAAGCAGGCCTGAGGTTCAGTGGGGAGATATTCAGAGCCTGGGACTGGGCCTTCTGTGGAGTAAGTCTGGGGCTCGGCTTGAGCATTATATTCTCCTAACTACTGCTTCCCCACCATGATTACCCCCACGCACTTCATATTTCCTTACCCTTTTTTATTTTTCCTATAGCACTTATCACTACTGACACTGTATTATATATGGATTTGCTTGCCTATTGTTTGTCCCATACTACAATATAGGCCCCAGAAAAGCTGACACTTTGCCCATTCTTTTAACACCTGTGCTCACAGAAGTCTGCCTGGCAATTTCCCTACAGGCTAGAGGCTTCATTTGTTCAGGGAATTAGGAGCCCTAGGGCATGATCTGAGCTTCAGAACCCCCAAATTGCACTTATTATTTTCCCGTGTCACCAGACTCTGAGCTATTTCAGGGCAGGGACTGTGCCTTCTGCAGCTTTGTTTCCTCCGAGCCCAGCACAGTGCCTGACAGAAGGAAGCAGTTCCATTTCTAGATCCAAGCGTGGAAATGTAATAGCTACTAGGAAAAATTGTATAGAAAAAGGTAGGTGTGCTGACCCTCTAGGGTCAAATCCACACTCATAACGACTTGCTTCTTCTGCATAAATGTGTAGTTGGGGGAGCCAGAACTCACACTCATACTGAGCAAATGCTAATCTATTGGTTAGAGAAATGAGATGACCATTTGGTGATACTCTAGCCCAGTGTTTCTGGCTATCTACCTAACCCTGGACTCTCTCCTTTTATCTTGTTGTTTTCCAAGAAGGGTGGCCTAGCTATATTCACTGGGATCCCCCTGAGCGCTCAGTGGTCATATCAGTTCCTGGGTCCTATCTGAGGTCTACCCAATGGGACCCTTGTAGGGTAGAGTCTAAAAATCTGCTTTTTGAACAAATTACCAAGGTGATTTTGATGCATGATTTGTCTGTCATAACGGTTAAGAACGTGGGCTTTCAGGGTCAGAGATGTCTGGGTTCAAAACCAGTTGCCATCACTAACTGTTCAAGGCCAGGTCTGGCCACCTCCACGAGTGTTCATTTCCTCACTTATAAAATAGGGATTAATAAAAAGTACCTATCACCGACTACCAACTAAGATGAATAAACCCTAACTAAGATGAAACAAATAACCTGAATAGTCATATAACCATTTCAGCAATTGAATTTGTAATTTAAAGGTTCCTGAAAAAGAAATCTCCAAGCCCAGATGGCTTCCCTGGGGTGTTTCACCAAATATTTAGAGAAGAATTAACAGCACTTGTATACAACTCTTTCCAGAACACAGAAGAGAAAGGAACACTTCCCAATTCATTTTGTGAGGCCAATATTACCCTGATACCTAAAGCAGACAAAGGGAGTAAAAAAATAAAGCAAAAAAACCTTCCAAGCCCACTGCAGTAATCACTCAGAACGTAGATGCTAAATCCTCAACAAAATGTTAGCAAACCAAATCCAACAATGCCTAAAAATTATACACTGTGTCCAAGTGGGATTTATTCCAGGTGTGTGAGGCTGGTGAAACATTTGAAAATCAATTAATGTAATCCGCCATATGATCAAGCTAAAGAAGAAAAATAGTATGATTCTTTCTGTTGACCCAGACAAAGCACTTGACAAAATTTCACACCCATTTCATGGCAAAAACTCTCAGGAAGTTAGAAAGAGAAGGGAACGCCCTCAACTCGATAAAGGACATCTACAGAACACCTACTGTTAGCAGCACATTTAACGGTGAAGGCTGAGGGCATTCCGCCTAAGATCAGAAACAGCTGATCAATATTGAACCATGATGTTCTAGCCACTGAACCAGGCAAGAAAAGGAAATAGATGGCATCCAGATTGGAAAGGAAGAAGACTGTCTCTACGTGCAGGTGACAGACAATTAAAATAAAAATAAATTGAAAGCACCTAGTCTTATAAGGTTAAATGAAAAACACATAGGACACAACCAATATGGTTATGGCCGGTGGTAAGAGCTGAAGAAACGCCAAGCTGCTCTGTGATGAGGATGATGATGATGATGATGATGATGACGGGGGAGGAGGAAAGGAAGGGAAAGAGAACGAAGAATCTGAATAATGTCTGGGAAAGGTGACTGCAGCCCTTTCAGAGGCACATTCCCTTGCTCAGCTACGCTGACAGCCGGAAGCCCTCCAGTGTGTCTGCTTCTTGCTATAATTAGCACATCAGTTCCTATTTCTCCAGCTTTTCTAAGGCTGCAGAAGGCCTAGCCTAAGAATAGGGGGTTGATTATCTGGGCAACAGGGAGGTTGGAAGAACTTCAGGGAGGCCCCCAGAGTGGCTGTCAGAATCCCTGTCTCCACTGATGTGAGAGGACCGGACAGAGGGAGAATAAGCTCGTGGAGGAGAAGGGGGAGGGGGCTGAAAAGGAGCTTCAGAGGATGGAGCCATCCGGAGCTGACGGGAGAACACAGGTAGCAGACAGGAGGGGAGGGCTGTGACCGGCATGAGGAGGGCGTGGATCGGTCAGGAAAGAGCCAGCAGGAGGGAGCTGGCCATCCCCTCCAATGCCGAAGGGACCCAGCTGGTTCCTTCCCCACACGCTCTCCGGACTCTGACACTGATTCTAGGGTTAGGGCGGAATTCAGGGAGCAGAGTAATCCAAAATCGTGGGCATGGCCTGGGAATTCCTTCCTTATGTGATACCCTCTTGCCCCCCCGTCCGTACAGAGAGTGAAGGCCTCCCTCTTGGTATTCTGCTGGAGCTGCCGTCCCTAACCCACACTAGCTAATTCGGTGGCAGGAAGTGGGGGAGGCAAGTGCATGCCAGGAGCCATGCACAGGAAGCAGCCTGCAGCTCCTGCGGATAACTGAGACAGGGGCCATCCTGTGCGCCAAGGAGAAATGGGATGGGAGGGCTGGTGACACCGAAAGGAACAATGAGGAAGGATGTACCATCATGCCGGTGGAGCCAGACTTACCTGCCGAAAACCATTCCTGGTGAACTGTAAGATTTTCAAGGCATAGTTGGACCTCTGGCCTTTGCTGTTGAATTCAATGTGGCCGGTGAGACCTTCCAATTCTACCTGTCCAAGAGAGAGTGAGTTACAGCACCAAATGGGCCCCGTGTTCCACTTGGCTCCCAGCATTCTGCACACGAGCTATTTAAGGATGCCCAAGGGAAAGCAGGCCATCAGGGTCCATTCTCCTGCCTGTCTCTCAGCCACAGGATCTCTTGACTACAAATGTGATGTTCCTGGACTGAATTCAGACTCGGCTGGGGCTGGAGGAGGAGGAGGATGCCCCCACCCCATGACCACATAGCCGCTTCACAAACCGACACAATACCAAGATGGCAGCCTGAACGCCAATTCTCCAGTGTCCCTCCTCCAGGCCGTTGGCTGTTAATAGAATCTATCCTCTTTGGGCAGCTGCTCACCCACCTGCGGGTCTGCAGGAAGTCAGGAAGACCTGACTCTAAGTGCAAAACCCAAGCTACTCTGCACCAGGCTTCTCGGACGGAGATGTCTTCTTCGTGGGCTAGAGATCCACAGCCACCCCACCAGAGGGGACACGGCCGGAGACATGGCTGGGAAAGCCAGCTCCAAACCATGCCTCCTCAGCAGGGTGTTGGGGATCCGGGAACAACTGTGACCCAGAGTGCACGGAATGGGGTCACCGCCGATGGCTGTTTTATCTGGGACTGTGATATCCCGAGGAGGCCTGTGGGCGCAGGGCCACGAACAGAGCATCCCACCCCCCCGCCCCTGCAGGGCCCCAGCCGCCCCTCACCATGCGCAGGTAGTTCATGAGGCTGGTGCCGTGCTGCCAGATCTGGGCCGAGCCGCAGGACAAAGGCTTCACACCAATCTCCTGGCTCCGGTTGAGCTCCTGCACTGCGGTGACCACAGCATAGACAGCATCAAACAGCAGGGCCGAGGACAGCTGGGAGAGGGTGGACGGCGGGCGGGCAGGCAGCGGCAGGAGGCCCAGGGAGACGGTGGGATGGGTGTCAAGGGGGAGGGGAGGGAAGGGAAAGGACGAAGAAAAGAAGGGAGGGGGACGAGAGAAAAGAGAAACAAAGAAGAAATAAAGGCACTTCTTTGTTGCCTGGGGCCCACCGTCCAGCTCCGGGCCAGCTCCACCTCACCTAAGTGTTCAAGTGCTTGCCCAAGGCAGACAGTGGTGGCAAACACTTCTCTGCTATTAGACCATCCAGATGTCGCTTTGAGCCCCAACTGATTTCAAGGATATCCTCCTCTCTCTTTGCCCCAGGGAGGTAGCAACTCCCATTGCTGTCAGAAATCCCTAAGGGGATGGGGCTGCCTATCTCAGGAGGAAGGAACCTGGATGCTACATTCAGATTTGCCCAGTCTACGATGCTCAACTGAAGGTCACCTACTCCTAGAAGACCCCAGGATGTTGCATCTTCCTGGATATACCTACTATCGGTCTACTACTTTGTACTACTCAGTGTCATGGGTACTTATGAAGCACATGGTAAACACAAAGCCCTAAGATGAAGGCGGGCTTCCTGCTTCCTGCTATAATTAGCGCATCAGTTCCTATTTCTCCAGCTTTTCTAAGGCCGCAGAAGATTCCCGCAATAGGTTACAGTGGAAAGGAGAGGGTGTACGGGGAGACAGGACCCAAACAAGGGTAACGGGAAACTGAGTGTGTGGACAGAAAAAGGTTGGCGGGGTCCAAAGAGGAAGATCCTGTTGGCTGATCAAGAAAACGTTTCTTGGAGGACATAGCATTGGAACTGAGCACTGAAGGATTTTGGTAGAAGCATCATTGGATCTGGGAGGGGGAGCAGCTGGGGACAGGGGAAAGGCACTCCAGAAGTGGCACTGCCCACGCAAAGGGGTGGAAAGTGTGGGGCACACTTGGGGGGTGCGTGGGAGGGGAAGAAGCAACAAACCAGCAATGTAGGCAGGTCTGCGGAGGGAGGAAGAGCCCGGGGAAGAAGCCAGTGAAGCTTGTTCACATCTTCATCTCCCTATTCAACCGCAAGCTCTTAGGGCCCAGGAACACGCAGGGCCTTCATCTCTATATCCCGCACAGCCTCTAGCACCGGGACCCAGCATGTCGTAGCACCCCCCCCCCCCCCCCCCCCCCCCCCCGCCGCAAGACATATTTCCAGAACTGAATTAAGTTTTGGGTGAAATCTGCCAACCGAGGCTCAGCAGGAGCACTGCCCAATGAGTTGACTTGATGTTAGCAGCTTTGGGTAGGGGCAGAAAAACAGAAGCTGCCTGCCCTTGAGGAGTGTGCCATCTAAGGAGGCAATGACACCAGGCTGTGCACATACAGTCCCCGACAAGAAAAACCGACCGAGTGTAAATGACAATAGGGACAAACCATATAGGGCCCCTGAGGGGAGGCCCCATGGGAACAGTGACATTGAGGTCTGTCACTTCTTACAACCTCCTCCTCCCTGGCCAGGCCCTGGGAGACTGACCCCTCCAAGGAGGGAGGCAGGGAGGCCATCTCCTGACCTCTGGGATTTTTTTCAAGCTCTCAAGACAGAGTGGAGGCATCTTGAGGCAGGAGGTACAGGAGAAAGAGCTCGAAACCGGGAGGACTAAACCCAGAGTTTGGATCCCAGCCCTCATTCACGTGCTGAGCGATCTGGAGCACGCTGTGGAACCTTGGAGAGAACAATGGTTTCCCGTAAATGAGAGGCAGCCTCCCTGGCTCGCAGGTCTGTAACGTGCTCTGCAAACTGCGCACCCCCTGGGTGCGGGCAGGTGTCAGCTCGGGAAGCAGGTGCTGGCTGAACAAAGGCTACGGAGAGTTGTAAGAACAAGGAGCTCAAGGCAGGGAACAGGCTGGGAAGAGTGACTTATTCCCTCTGCAGCTCAGCTGCCTGTTGGGCAAGGAGTCCTGTGACAGCGACTTGGCGAGGGGGCGTGGGGGGGTTGCTGACTTCAGATCATCTTTCTAAAAGGCAATTACAGGGGAGAACAGCCCAAGAGAGTTTCCCTGCCCCAGTGCACGTTCACTTGCATTGCAAAACTGCCCAGCCCGCGTATTCCTTCTTCCTCCTTCTTTCCCGCTCTCAATCCCTCTCTTGCTCCTTCTTTTCTTCCCTCCACCTGCTTCTTTTCCTTCTTCCCACATTTATTCAGCTCCTATGATGTGGCAGCACTGGAGACCTCAACCTCTCCTGTCCTCCTCCGAGACATCCATACAGGCAGGAGCCCCTGTGTTCCCTGTGCCTGGGCTGGGCCTTCATCCCTCTCAGCTCCATCAGCCCTCCTTTCTGTCCCCTGGCCCTGAAGTGTGGCCTGTGGCCTAAAGACCAAGCAGGTAGGGGCACTAAATGGAGTGATCAGGACCGGGAGAAAGCTCTGCAGTTGGGCTGAGCCATGCTGACCAGCCGCCTCCCTCAGGTCCCTCCTGCCCATCACCTTCTGCTCTCTCCTCCCACTGCCTTCCCCTCTGCAGCTCGGCTCCTTCTTCATTGATTCCAGGCTCACCTGCAAGGCGCTCGATGCTTCTCGGTGAGCCCACAACTGTCCTTGTCCTTTGCACATAATTCATTTCCCCCTGAGTACATGTGGCTCCTTTATTAATGGACCTCTCACACTCCCTTGCCAAAAGGACATATGGAAATGATCGAAGCTACAGAATCTCCCTTTCCAGCTTAGACAAACATGGACCCGAGGAGGGGGGGCATTGGTTACCGCTACTGACATTGGCCCCTAGATCCTTCTATTTGGCTATTTAAATGATATGGTAAACTAATTTCTGTCCCACTTTCTCCTTTGTCTCCCAGATAATCTGTCCATTCAGAGAGTCTCAAAATCTTGGCCTGTTAGACTGGGAAGGATCCTAGAAATCAAAGAGTCCAACTCTTTTATTTTACCAATGATGAAACTGAGGCTCGAAGAATTCACCTCCTGCCCAAAGTCACCAAGCAGGACAGAGGCAGGGCCAGGACTAGAGCCCCAGGACCCTTTCTCCAGTCTGGTTTCCTTTTGTGTCTGCAACATTGTCCTTCCATCGTCTCGAGAAGCCGGCAGTGAGTCATTACTCTGTCAGATTTATCCCCGTGCCCAGCCTCCTGGGACAACATGGGCAATCTTCTAGATGTGGTCACCTTCTCAACAGCAGACAGGAGCATGAGATTCTTGAGCCAGAGCTGGGGGCAGGGAAGGGGAGTGGGCAGGCCGCTCTCTTGTCCTGGGTCTGGCCATCACCCGCTTTGCCCCTCGGTCTGACTGGTTGTCCTTACGTTAGCCTCTCAGTGAAGAGCCACTTGGAAACGTTGTTAGAACAGGACAGAGCAGGACAGAGGGGGCAGTGGGAGGGGACCATGAGCTGCCTACCTAGCACCCGTTCTCCCCTTCTTCCTCCCCAACAGAACCCCCATTTTGTTCAGGTACCCTCCATCCCCCAAGCAGCCATGTGCCTCAGGGGTGGCTAATCCAGCCCCAGCTCTCTAGTGATCCTCTAGTCCAAGAGTCCTCCCACCCCCCCACCAATATGTGACCAATCAGTGGCCCGATTCTGACCAGTGAGACATGAACTGACACCAGGGGGGAGGGGGCACATCTCAGAAAAGCTTCCTGTCTCTGAGAGAGGCAGTCCCTTCCTCCTCGTCTCGGCACTACGGTGTCAGGACATGATACCTGGGCCTGCGGCAGCCAGCCTGGCTCCAGCCCAAGGATGAACTTGACACCAAGGGAGACAGAGAGGAATAGAAGGAAACTGGGTTTCCGAAGACCTCAGGCCAGAGTCTGCCTTCCCCCTCAACTTGCCATGACACAAGGTCACATGCTTCCTTTTTCTGCATAAGGCAGTTTAATACCAGATTTCCACCGTTGGAAGCTGAATGCACCTTAACCAATACGAAGGCCCAAGGGACCCCCTTCCTCCCAGGCCACGGTCGCCTCAGGCCCTCGGAGAAGCCTGGGCTTCCTCATCCCCCTCTACAGGCCCTTCTTCTCAGGAGGCTGTGTGCCCGGCCCCGAGAGACCCCAGTCCCTGCAGAGTGCAGACACAGCTCACCACGCCATTTCTCACACCCTCCCACATGCTTCTTGTTGTTTCCACTTGTCTGGGATGCAGTTTTCTTGGCTGATGTTCTTTTATTAACAAATGGTCCGGATGCTGGGCGAGTGGCGTGTGACTGTTTGCAGTGTTCTTCTGGCGTCTTGTGCTCTAGGACCTTCAAGATTCTTCCAGCGCTTCTAGGAATTATAGCCCGGAGAGGGATGCTGGGGGCAGGGATGGGTGGGGAAGGGGGGCAGCCTCAAGGCTCCTGTCTCCTCTCCATCTGCATATTGCCTTCAGAGAGGTGACACGGTGGCGGTCCCCAGTGCGCTCTGGGCTTCACGGGTCCTCTCTGTGGCCCAGCCTGGGCCCATCTGAGCTGAAACCTCCTAAATCCTGAACATCATCCCCCCCAGCTGGGTCTCCTCGGGGTCGTCCACACGTAACCCCCGTCTCGCAGGCTGCTGGCAACGCACCAGGCATCTCACCTGGGCCCTCCAACTGCCTCTCTGAGTGCCTGCCGCCCGTCCCGTGCTCACTCCTCCTGCTTATCTGCCCCCAGATGCCAATCTCAGCCAATTTCTCCTCTGGAGGGAGAGCCTGTAATCTCTGCCTCGTCAAATGTTCAGCTCACTGCCGCTCTCCATCCCAAAGCAACCTGCTGCTCTCCTATTTGCTTTCGTCCTCTGTTATTATTTACTAAGTTAGCTCTGGCAAGCACTTGGGATTGCAGCTGGGGGAAAGCGGCTTTGGGGCAGCGCTCCGTCCATGTCTCTAGTCCAGCTGGAGAATCCCCTCCATCCCTGCCCCTTCCTGCCTCCCATCCTAACCCATCGCCCTTCCCTTCACCACCCACCTCTGTCTTTCTGTGGCTTCCGTGCCCCATCTGTGCGCACACCTCTCTCATCTTGTCTCCGCTTCCCCTGTCCCTGGTCTTCTAAATATTAAATCCCCCAAATGGCTCAATCCTTGTTTAAAATCCTCTCCTCTTTCTTGGCACCAAAATGTTGCTTGGCAAGGAACTCTCGATTCCCTTGTTTTTATATTTTCATTTGGTTCTTCACTGCTATTTTCTTTTGAGCTGTTTGTAAATTGTTTAGGGGAACGAAAGACTCTGTATAAATTAAGATGAATCAATCTGACTCAGGGAACAGAGGCTGAGTTTCCGCCCCCTCCCCTGAAGGAAAAATAAGCATATCTTCCAAACACACACCTGTAACCCTCATCCTTCACACCCCCCGGCAGCTCCCCTGCCCAGATCACTGGATTCCCATTCTCTTGGATGCCCATTTGTCTCTGAACCTCTGTAGCTTAAACTCTACCCCCCAAAATCAGACCAGGACGGGAGCCATTAAAATCTCATTGAAGAGTCCAAACAATCTGGGTTTTATTCAATGAAATAAACACTTAATTACAAACATCTGTTTTAGCCTAAATTCTAATTACTTAACCTAGCCATCTGTAATTTTAATGATTTTCTATGATTTTTGTTCTTTGCAGTGTGATTAATGGGAATGGCATGTGAAATAGTGGGTATGTGTCTCCATCCACAGCTCGCCCGCTTGCAGTTCGCATAGCATCAGGCGGGAAGCAGGGGAACTGCGTGCTGTCAGCCACCTGGCGGTGCAGCCTGGGCCTGGGTGATGGTGCTTAGCTCTCTCTCGAGGTTCCTAACCCCTCAGCTCAGATGCTCCCTCTCTGTCCTCAGAGCAGCCCCCTTTCCAGCAGCCCCCTGGGGCACACGGGGGCGAGGAGGCACACAATTCAGGAGGAAGAGAAACGGACAAGAGAGATGCCAAGGGTGCAGAAGGCAGATGGAGTGTAGGGGAGGAAGGGGAAAGGGGAAGGGAGAGGGTGACCGGGGGAGGAGAAGAGGGGAAGGGAAGAGTCCCGGGAGAAGACACGAGAAGGAAGAGAGACTGGACCTGAGACAGAGAGGGCAGAAGGGAACGGGGGTGGGGGGTGGTGGAGAGAAGAGGGCCCTGGAGGCAGGAGAGAGCAGGTCCCTGTGGAGGAGATGTCTGCTGCCTTTTGAGAAAGCTGGATGGGGAGACAGACCGGCCTGGGCTTTCTTGGAACTGATTATTTCTCGCCTTCCAGCTCCCCAGCAAATGAAAGGGCTGGGCTGTTTGTGCTGGGAATTTCAACCCCCAAAGAGACAGGAAGAGGCACTGCTTTTCAAAAGGCAGTTGCTAAGTGAGAAGCCTCGAGAAGGATTTGTTGCTGTTTGAAGCTGTGAGCTTTCTTTCCTTATTCCTCCAGGTGAGGAGTTTCTGTAACACCTCCCCTTCCTCCTCAGAGGCTACAGAGATGGTGGCTGCAAGGCTCTTGGCACCGAGAGGAAGTCTTGGGCTCTAATCTCCCTCTTCGGTGCCTCAGTTTCCCCATTTACCAAACAAGGGGTGTGTGACCACTCTCATCTGCTATTAGGATGCCATGAGGAGGAAAAAAGGGGTCGAGGTGGGATAATTTCGTGGGAAGCGCTCCAATATTCCTCAGCTCTGCGCACAGATGAAACAAATGGAATGAGCACCCCGGTCTCCTGAGCTAGAAAGAACACATGTCCTTATTTTGCTGGCAAGAAAACAACAGGGCTTGGCCAAGAGAAAGCTGACTGAGGAAGCGCCACAATCTGAGACCCAGGACTGACTGTCCCCTCCCGGGGACCAGGGCTAGGTCTCAGACTCACCCTTAAGCTCCTCACGCCACCCCTCTGAAGGAGGCTTGTACTCTTGTTCTCCACCCCCAACACAGAGGGAACCTCCGGAGAACCCCTACTCCCTGAATGCTCCTCAACATTCTTGGGGAACATAGGATGCTGAGGCTTTGGGAGGTCCAAGACTGGATCGGGAAGGACAAAAATGAGGTCACGAGGGCTGCTTCTGTGTGACCAGACATGTGGCCCCAGCTCTATCCTGGATGCCTTCACACCCTGCACAGCGTCTCGCACACTAACTGAGAAGCCGTGAGGTCTTCACTTCCCCTTCCTCTGGGAAGCCTTCCCTGGTCATTCCAGGCAGAACTAAGGGGCTTTGCTCTGCTTCCACAGGACAGGATCCCACGGGGGACCATTTTCCTAGAGGTGGAGGCAGATCTTACTTCCCACATCATGAACCCCGGAAGGTAGAGGCTTTGGCTCTTCTTCACCAGGATGGACTATGGGATGGGTCCCCATCCTTCATTCTGCCCTGGACTCAGACCTTTTGCCTTGTGACTCCTTACTTTTCTTCTCTAAAAGAGTAGAGCCTGTTTCCTCATTCCCTGACTTGGAATTTGTCTGTGTGCCATTCTTTGGCTAACAATGTGAGTCGGCAGTTGCTGTGTGCCCGTTCTGGGAAATTAGCACTAAAAGTCTGGTATGTTCCTACTTGCTTTGTCACTGTCCTGCCGTCACTGTGAGAATATGCCAGGCTGGCCTGCCTGCTGGGCCAGGGGAAGGATGACAGGCACGTGGAGCCGGAGCTGCCCCAGCCCAGATTCATGGAGTGAACTGCTCAGATGAGCTGACCCCCAGCTAGACTAGGAATCTGTAGCTAATCCTCCCTCACCCCCCAGATTAGCTGACCTGAAGCTCAGAGGCATGAGCTACACAGATGCTTAGTGTCACATGCTAGTGACATTTGGGGGTTGGTTGTTACCCAGCATTTATACAACAAAAGCTACCTGATACATTAGTAAATGCCTATCCCCATATAGCATGTTAAATTAGCTCATTCGATGAATAACTGTGATTTGAAGGTAGAATTATATTCCATTTTATCTTCACAAAAATCTCCTAAGGTGGTCAAGCAGAATCAGCCCCAAATGACAGATAAAGAATCTGAGGCTCAGAAGAGTTACATAACTACCAAAGATCACAGAGCGAGAACATGGCAAGGCTGGTATTTGAATCCAGGTCCTAGGCCTCCAAGGCTAGTGCTCTGTTGGGCGCGTGTGAGCACGGCCGGCCCCAGAGTCCCATGAAAGGCACTGACTGGCCTGCATTTCAGGTCCTTGCAAGCCCTCCTGCTGGGTCCTGGGTGGGCTTCTCACCTGCCTGCTTGTGATCAGTGTGAGCGCTAATGGAAGGACTCGGCCCCTCCGAGAGCAACTGGAAATATGGCACAGGAACCTTTTATTTCACCCAGGCTGGGTGCCAAATGTGGAACAGTCTGGGTTGGAGAGCAGGTAGCAGGCTTTGTTTCCTTTCCTGGTATTATGCTGCGAGCCTTCCCAGTCTGCCAGCACCTCATTAGAATACGGGAGCCAAGGCTGCAAGACCCGCTGGGCAACCAGGGGGCCAGGCCTGCATCCGGCTGCGAGGGACGAGTCCAGGCCTACCGTGACGCTGTGCCTGAGCATGTCCCTCACTGTCCCTCACCCATCTACTGGTGGTGAGGACCCCTTTCCTTCAGATGTCTCACACCTGCCAAGTCCTTCCTGTGGATTCTCACCTCTTTCAAGTCTAAAATACCTTGTTGGGATGTGCTCCTTAAACCTTTCCGGAAACTCAGTTCTCAGGGGTCTTCTCCTCCCTGACTCCCTGAGCTCTGCATCAGCTCCGACCCCTTCGTTACTCCTTCCTTCCTAGGATTTCCGCCAGGCCCCGCAATCATGGAGGTACACAGCTTGCTGGACGGGCACTCTGTCCACGCCCCTTCCTTGAGGAAGCCCACTGCTGGATCACCGCCTTGGCCAAACACTAACTAGGTGTCCATTTGTGCAGATGTCCAGAAACATCCTTGCCCCCAGACATGTATCAAAGACAGGTCTTGCTCCTATTTTAGAAGCCCTCCAGGGAAGGTCCCATTCCAGGAGGGTGCCCGGTTCCATTGCCACCTCTCAGGACTACTTCTTTTCCAGTTCCTCCTATCTCTAGCTCACTATTCCGCCTTCCTCACTGATTCACTCATTTGTTCGATGAATACCCACTAACTGCTTTCACCTTGCCAGGCCAATTTGCAGTGGCAACACAATGATGCTCCCAGAAAGGGGAAAAGGGCATAGCAGGTAAAACTTTGAACTGGGTTCTGATGCTAGTTCCTCTGCTTACTAGCTGTGTGACCCTGGGCTGTTTACTCAATCTTTCTGGGCCTCTGCGTCATCATCTGCAAAGTGAAGATACTGATAGCAGACCTCGGAAAAGTTATGGGAGCATCACGTGAGCTGCTTAAATGTAACGTGGCCGGGACAGGACCTAGAAAGCCAGGCAATCCCTGTCTCCTGAGACCTTGCCTTTTAACAGACGGACATGAGCCCACATACCTGACCTGCCCCACAGAGTAAGGACATCAAACCCAGGGCAGCATGCCAGGGAAAACTTTGCTTCCATCACACACACAGCAGGGGAAGGAAGTACAAAGAGGAAGTACGTGGGTGAAGGCACAAAGAAAGCCTCTCTGCATGAGCTCCTACTCAGGGCAGTGGCCCAGCATGATGGAGAGAGCCCTGGACCAGGAGTCAGGAAATCCTAGAATCTAGTGTCACCCTGCAAAAGGCTTGGCATTCGCCTTTGAACAAGACCTCCATGTCCCCATGCTCAGCCCCATTCCCAGACTGGGCTTCAGATTCTTATCCTGAAAAATGAGGAAGCGGATGAGCTACAAGTGCCTTCCAAGAGGAGGACTGTTGGAGCCTAAACTCAAGCAGTTCTCAGCAACAGCATGATTGGAAGTCTGGCTGCAGGAGACAGACGGACGTGAGGACATCACTAAATGACAGATCCCTACCTCTGCACAGGGCTCTCCCTGCGGACCTCCAAGAAGCTTGCTGTTTCCAGCTCGCTCCTCCCCAAACCTTCTCCCTTATAACCGCTTCCCAGCACTGGTACATACCTCTCTTTGAGCGGGGGCCCAACAGGGCTAGACCTCGGGAGGGTGCATGTACACAGAGGTGAAGGGGCGCAGGGAGGGCTCCGGCGGGTACTTACCGCAGGCCCCGTGAAGGGCACGTGGTCACAGTTCTCCTGCCACGACTGGTTGAGGCTCTGGGCAAACTCTTGGAAGAAAGCATGCGACTGGTTGAAGATGGAAAATCCCAGGATGTTGACACGGTCATCCACAAGGCTGTCCATTCTCTGGAGCGAGAACTCCTAAAAGATCCATGAATCAGAGAACAGGGTTAGCAAGGGCAGAGGCGTGGGGATAGAGCACGTCCGGGGCTCTCCGTCTAGTCCCATGAACACTTGCTGGCAGGCACTCTGCTAGGTACTCAGGGTCCAGAGAGAACCACGGGCTGCTCTTCTGAGAGCTCGCGGTGTTGGGGGAGTGGAAGAGGAAAAGAGAAATAAGCAGAATGGTCTCTAAGAAAGGGGTATGTGTAACGTGCACGGGACAGAAAGAGGAAAAGTCTAATGTGCCTGGGAAGCAGGACTGTGTCCACAGAAGGTGTGACCCTTTGAGCTGAGCCCTGAAGGGGCTCAGAGGTGTCCTCCAGGTGGCAAATGACTCCAGAAAGAAGTCACCACGGCGGCCGTGATCCGAAGGCACGGAGATGAGCAAGTGTGGCCCTCTCAACCAGCTGCCTGCCATGTACTCGGACAGGGCATCACGCCTTGAAGTGTGGTCCCCAGAGTACCTGCCATTGGAAGTCTCCGAGGCAGCTTTAAAAAAAAAAAAGTGACAATTCCTGGGCCCCACCCAACACCAACTGAATCTGAATCACCTGAGCTAAGGGCCAGGCGTCTGCCTTTTCAGCGGGTCCCAAGTTCACGTACGCAGCAACAGTTGGGAGTCGCCTGGTGAGCACATGGGGCGCAGGGGGTGAGGGCACAGTGAGAGATGAGGTTGGGGAGGTCAGCAGGGGCCAGAGCTCAGGAGCCTGGCTGGCGGGCTAGGCAGCCCACACTTGATCCTGTAGAGGATGGGATCCGAGGGGACTGTCGGCAGAGGAGTGACAAAGCCAAATTTGCTTTCGAAGAATCTCAGCCCGAAGGTCTGCACAAAGAGTTGTGCCTTCACTTATTATTATATTTTCCCATTCACTTAACAGATATTTAAGTGCTTATCATGAGCCAGACCCAGGCACAAAAGATGTTCCAGGCACAAAAGATATGAACAAGAGAGACACATGTCCTGCTTTTAAGGAGGCTGTGGGTTAATGGTGGAGGCAGACTGTAAGCACACATAAAAAAAAAGAAAACAGAATTTCAGCCATCTATGGGAGCACTGGTACACAGTGTGTGTGTGTGTGTGGGGGGGTGCTGCAACTTGAGATGAGGGAGTCAGAGAGACCCCATCCACGGTAGTGACATTTAGAGGCTCAATCGGGTTCTCCCAGGACCCACGCCCCTCTTCCAGGGCCCTGCCTGGAGTCAGCCGTTCTCTCAGTAAGCTAAAGCCTGCAGGCACGAGTCCCACCGAGGCTAGTCAGCACCCAAGGGAGAAGAATCACCCTCCTCTGGCAGGGCTGAGCTCAAGCGTACAGGCCCTCCCTGGCTCTATGCACGGAAAGCAGGCAGAGAGGGGTCCGTTTATTCATCTCACCAACCCTGCCCCTGGAAGAATGGCTTCCAATGCAGGTCAGGTCATCTTCACACCCTGAAGTCGCATCCATCACGCGTTCATTCCAAGTACCCCACACACAGCTCCACACCCCATGGGGGCACGGTGGTTACAGAGCCCAGGACGAACCCAACAGCCACTCGGCCTGACAGAACAGATGGCAGGTGCCCCAGGCTGACTATCTGGCTGGGCAGAAGCACTGCTTCCATTCAGGCAGACTCCTTTTCTTAAGACTTAGCTCCTCCAGGGCCCTGGCCTCTCCCCTGCATCCTCATTTCTGTGTAGCGACTGCCAAGGCCTGAGGCCGCAGACCTGAGCTCCCTTGCCCAGAGTCCAGCGTGATTAACTGCAGCTTGCAGACTGGAATTACAAAGGTTCCTTTGGAGCCTCCAACCCCTGACAGTGTGGAGTCGGATGAGGATGAAGTGTATTTCGGATCCTGCCGCATTCCCATTAGGGGAACACAGATGTGCCAGGGAACGTATTGATTCGTAAACTGGTATTATCTCTGGGCTCTTGAACAGGACACCTGCCCATGCGCTGTGGGCCACCAGCAGCACGAGGGGCAGATGCCTAATAAGAAGAGATGCATCTGACAAGGGGCAGGGGAGGTGGCAGGGGCACAGAGCCAGGCTGCTGTCAGGCAACCGAGGGGCCTCACCAGCTGGAAGATGTGCCCTCTCCCTTGGCTTCCTTGTCAATGTGGCCCATCATCACCCCTCCCCTCCGCCCTTTCCCCCACACAGGTTGATGGAAGGAGGCCCATCTCAAGGGACCCCTGATGTCTGAGATGTCTACAGACTCCCTGGGGCTGTAGGTGCATATAGTGAATAAGGGCTTTGGTGTTCAACTCCAGGTTCTACACCGTACTGGACGGATGCACTTAGGGAAGGTCTTTAACCTCTCTGGGCTTCAGATCCTCATTTTGTAAAATGGGAGCCATCATGACAGCTGTTTCAAGGAACACGGAAAATGCACACAAAAGGCTTTGCATGGTATTTGGCACATGGAAGCCCTCAACGTATGACAGTGACCAAAATACGACCCTGAGATCTCAGGCACATGCCAGCCCTCCACGTCAGTTCCGGGAATGTGTTACCTTCAACTCTGTGCTCTGGGCAGAGGAAGACTGAATGAGTTAATTACAGACACTTAGAGACAGCCCTTCCAGAAGTCGGCCCATCTGTCTTCTTGCTTTTAATTCCTACCTTCTTATCCCTCAATTATATCCTTTTCCAAAGTTCCCCTTAAGATAAAAAGATCCAGGAGCTTCCTTGATAATTCATTCTATTTATAATGACTCATGGGAGAGCTTGCAAAAGGATAAGAACGGGGGTGGTGTGTTCTGTTATCATAATTTCCTGGGACTCTCTAGACTCTACTCCTCGAGTGCCCTCTCAGGTAGGAAGTGCCTCTTTATGTCTAAACTTGGACAGTCCTGCTGCTGGTGAAGGTTGATTTCTAAAGGAATAATGGGGAACAGCTGACCACTGCCGGTTTCTACATGATGAAAATCTTCTAAGCCAGTGTTTCCCAAAATGTGTTCCTTGGAACACTAGCTTTTCCAGGATATTAATAGAAATTTCACAGAAACAACGTTCCCCCTTAAGGTGAGAACACGCTGTATATTATTTGTATCTGCCTCTTCAAGATTTATAACACACACTAGCAATGTTAAAGGTTTAAAGAAGTCCTGCAGGAAAGCAGCTTTTTAAAATTTTGTTCAACCCAGAACCATCCAAATGTATTACCATGGAACACTTCTTTCTCCCCAAACCTATGAGGGTCTCACAGTAGTGTTCTACAAAATGTACACTGGGAATTGCTGCTTTTTTTGAGGGGGGTGGGGAGAGAGAGAGGGACGGAGAGAGAGAGGCTGTGTGTGTGCGAGTGGGGGCGGGGAGGGGGAGAGGGGGAGAGAGACTCGCAAGCTGGCTCCACGCCCAGCATGGAGGATGCAGGGGTGGGTCTCATGACCCTGAGACCATGAGATCGAAATCAAGAGTTAGAAGTTTAACTGACTGAGATACCCAGGAGCCCTGGGAAATGCTACTCTAAACACATTCAAGGAAACATGGATTATAAACCCCAAATCAAGTGGCGGAAACATTTTGCTGAGAGGGATATTTCATAAAATTAACAAATTTCAGGATTGGAGGGGATTAAAAGCCATCTGGTTCCTGCTGCCCACCACAAACTCTAAGAACACACACCTGGCTCGCTCGGCCCCCTACACTCCCCCAACCACATAGTCTGGCTGGCTGCAACCTTACTTGAAATGAGAGAAGAAGCTGGAAGCCATGGGGTTGAACAGCTTCTTAAGGGGGTGGGGTGGGGCCTTCATTCTCTTCTTATAAAGGGTTCAGGAAGGGAAATCCTAAGGGTCCCCACTCCTAACAGCTCCCTTCCTGCCAGGTGCACGGGCAACCCCTAAACGGTGCTACCGTTCAGTACCCTGTCCATCGCTATGACACCAAGGGAACCACGGTGAAGAATAGAGCCGGGGGCCGCCTGGTAAAGCCGAGCAGCAGAGCAGACCAAGACCAAATCTTCCACTACTCCAAGTCTGCATAAATTCCCAACAGCCCCTGTGCTGCCATCACCCTCTCACGTTGTGTGGCCTTTCTCTCCAAAGGCCTGTATGTTCCCAGAAAACAACAATGTCTGCCTTGTCTTTGATCCCCACGCAGCACCCAGCATAGTGCCTGATACCTGGCAGTTGTCTGGTAAATGCTGGCTGAGGACTGTGGATAGAAGACATTTCTTGTCAGCTGAGGACCCTGGGGTCCCCAGTGTGCCTAACTCTTACCACTAGTCTGCAGTCTTCGTCCTATAGAAGGCATAAGAACATGAGTAAAGGGGAGGTGGAGCAAGATGGCGGAGGAGTAGGAGACCTGGATTTCGTCTGGTCTCAGGAATTCAGCTGAATAGGGATCAAACCATTCTGAACACCTACGAACTCAACAGGAGATCGAAGAAAAGAATAGCAACAACTCTCTGAACAGAGAAGCGACCACATTCTGGAAGGTAGGACGTGCGGAGAAGTGAATCCGAGGCGATATTCAGGAGGACAGACGGCGGGGGAGGGGGCCTCCGTCGGCCGCTTCCGGCAAGTGCTAGAGCCGCGGAGCCCAAAATCGGAACTTTTAGAAATCGGCTCCCGTGAGGGACGTCGCTCCAGTGGCTAAGCGGGGGGTGGAACCCTCGCGGGACAGTGTGGTCTCAGGATCCTCGGGGTCACAGAAAGATTGGGGTGCCTGAGTGCGGCAGAGCTCCCAGGTATCGGAGCGGGGAAGCCAGGTGCAGAGACGGAGCCGAGGCGCAGGCTCTCAGCTCGGGGTTGCCATAAACTGTGATCCGCGGCCCAGTCGGGCCACTGCGCCTCCAGCAGGGACCCAAAAAGCGGCAGAGCCGGGGAGACTCCCCTTCCTCCCCCGGGAGGAGCGGCGCGGGAGTGCACCGCAGGGATCTGCGGGGTTTGGAGACTCCACACGGGGTCGGGTGCCAGAGATAGAAATGCTCGGTCACGGGCCGGGTGAGCACGGAGTGCGGCCGGAGACCGGGGACACGGGAGTGACTGACTG